TTTTTTTTTTTTTTTTTTTTTTCTAATGTATTCTTTTCAGCCGTACTTACGTCTTTATGGCTTTTCATTTCATTACTTAACAGTTACTTGCTGGGATTTCTCTATCCAATCTCTCGGTTAATTAGTTACTCTGTCCTTGAAAAGGTAGGGTGCATCACCTTTTTGGGGTTGGCTTGAAATATTGTTCCTTTCTTCTAATTTATGTATTAAGGTACTGTTTGTTCTGACACTCTAGGAACTGAAGATCAAGGAAGGTCTCTACATGATGGGCCTTAGAGACAATATGTTCCATCTCTCATGGTTTTTGACATACGCGTTGCAGGTTTGGTTTACAAATTTGTGTTGTTAATGATCACCGCGTGACATTTATTTCCTATTTGTTTTCTATTTCCTATTTTAGTTTATATTGTCTGTGGATACATGTTCAGATTTATGCTATGCCTCTTATCCCATTTGCTATAACACACTTGAGAGTGTCTTCATTTTGTCGATGCTTGTTTATTTCCACTATTCATGTAGATTTTACAAAGTTACTGATCAACTTTTACCTGATGAGTTGTACTTATTATGATGATATTTTTATTTTTGCAGTTTGCCATTTCCTCTTTAATCATCACTCTTTGCACGATGGGGACCCTTTTTAAGTACAGTGACAAGACTCTGGTGTTTGTGTACTTCTTCTGTTTTGGGCTGAGCTCAATAACACTATCATTTCTGATCTCTACATTCTTCACACGGGCGAAAACTGCAGTTGCTGTTGGAACACTGGCTTTCCTAGCAGCATTTTTCCCTTATTACTCTGTAGATGAGGAGACTGTTTCGACGTACGTGTTCTGTAGTAATACTGGTTATATAAATAATAATATTCTTTGGTGGTGCAGTAAACATTTTTGTTTTCACTGTGTCTGTAGGTTATTTAAGGTCTTAGCATCTCTTCTTTCACCCACGGCTTTTGCGTTGGGATCAATTAACTTTGCTGACTATGAACGGGCTCATGTTGGACTCCGATGGAGCAACATCTGGCGGGTATGCATTCATAACACTGTGGTCCTTTATATTTAATTCAAAAAAAAATTAAATAAATATTAATTGATTGTTTACTACAGGATTCCTCTGGGGTTTGCTTTTTGATCTGTCTTCTGATGATTTTGCTCGACACTTTCTTGTACGGCGCTATTGGTCTTTATCTAGATAAGGTAAAACTTTAGCTGATCCTTTGTGGATGCGTGTGTTGGGCGAAAAACTTTCATCTTGTTGATTTATGGTTAATATTAGGTTTGCGCACCAAATGACATTTTGACGACAGTTGTATCTGTTTATTATGAGTTCAGGTCCTTAATAAGGAAAACGATGGAGGCTTCACTTGGAGTTTTACGTTGTTTAAGAGTTTTTGGAAGAAGAAAAAGACAAACGAAAAGTTCTCTTCCAGTTCACTTGTGAAGTTAATTGATAGTGAGTATGAGGAAAATCCTCGTCTTTCTGAAAGAGGGCCGTATAAGCCAGCTGTGGAAGCCATTAGTTTTGAAATGAAGCAACAAGAACTCGATGGGCGGTAAATATATTGCAGCGCTTACCTAAATTTTTATAAATACATACAACCATGTATCTTTTTTACTTATTTTATGTTTCAATTTATTTTTTCTAGGTGTATTCAGCTTAGAAATCTGCACAAGATGTATGCTTCTAAGAAGGCTAGGTGCTGTGCAGTCGATTCTTTACAGCTGACTCTGTATGAAAATCAAATTCTCGCACTTCTGGGTAACCAAATGTTTCTATGTTGAGACTTGTGTGCTTTATATCTGTTAATTTGTGATGCATCTTTAACTGAATCATGTATGCATATTTCAAATTTGATTTTGTAAGCCATTATTCATACATAAGTAATGTGTGAACATATTGCATCAAATGTAATGGTTTAAAGACACTTTCTGCAGGACATAATGGGGCTGGTAAAAGCACAACAATGTCCATGCTTGTCGGCCTTGTTCGTCCGACCTCTGGAGATGCTGTAGTTTTTGGAAAGAACATCTTAACGGACATGGTAACATATTAAATACGATTTTTTTTTTCTCTTTATATTTATTTATTTTTGGTTGAGTAGGTGCGGTAATTAGGTTTTATAACATTGAATGAACAACTAAATGCTTGATTTCGGAGCAATTTCAAATTGCAATCTACTGATACTACAGTTTACAGTAAACCAATGCTAAACATATATCAGCAAGTTACATTAGGTCCTTCTGATATCTCTTGTGGAAAATGAATAACAAAAAGAATTTACCCATAAAAATACTTTAGGTATCTTCTCTGTAGAAGCTCAGCTCGTTAATGATGTGGTCGAATGTAGTATGTTGAAGAACCAAGTTAAGTGGAGGTTATGGGCTCATTTTCGGGTGTCGGTTTTGCAGGATGAAATACGGCAAAGTTTGGGCGTTTGTCCGCAGTATGACATTCTTTTTCCCGAATTAACAGTAAGATATTTTCCTTTTGAACTTGCCAGTTTCTTCCTTTTCATTTATCCCAAGATGTTCCAATATTACTTCTTTATGCTTGTGCAAGAATATTGCTCCTTACGTTTTTGCTTCGAATTTGGATGCACTCAATATTATTTTCCTTTACTTCATTTCCAACTTTTCTGCTTATATTTCTGTCTTTATGCATTTTCTTCTGACAGGTGAAGGAGCATTTAGAAATATTTGCTAACATAAAGGGTGTGAATGAAGATTGCTTGGAGAATGCTGTGATTGAAATGGCTGAAGAAGTAAGCTTCGCTCGGAAGACATGTGTGTTTATGTGTGTGTGTG